TTTATTTATTTATACTATACTAGTAATGGCAGAGATCAACGACTTATAGTGGGACTGTGATAGTGTGGTGGGCAAACTGACACTGACTGCGGGGGGGTACACTGACAGCAACAGTGACACTAATACAGTGATCACTAATATTATACACTTTCACTGTACTAATGACACTGGCTGGGGTTAACTGTGTACAGGGGTGGACTGACCATTTGGAAACTCGGGTACTGCCCGAGGGCCCGGGGTCAGTAGGGGGCCCCATGAGATGCCCCTGGTACCCTTTTCATAGTTTTTTTTTTTAGTTTGGCCAAAGAAACAGGGGCCCCATGATCCCCTATTGCCCCATGAGTTGTCAGTCCGCCCCTGACTGTGTACCTAACAATGTGTAATAGGTGCTGCTTTTACTAAGCGATCTTGTCTTTTTCCCTTGCAGGGAATAAAAAAAAAAACAGCAAGAGCGCCTGTGAGTGTACAGAGCTCTGTGTTGGTAAACAACACAGGGCTCTCTTCCGTAAATCACGGAGCCGATCAGCGGGTCCCGGTGATCAGACATTGGCGGGGACCCAATGATCGGCTTGTGCTGTAACAAATCATAGCACAGCTGGGGTGGCGGGTGCTCGCGCCCCTACCCGGAGGTTCTGATCACATACCGGATGCATCATCTAGTGCACAGTGGCTGCTCTGCCACAGTAAATGCACATGGGGTGGTCGCTAAGCAGTTAAACAACCTCCAAACATCACAATGTATACAGTAAAGATTTAAAAGAAAACAGAGACAAAGGTAATCAGTACGTATTCTTTATTTATAACTGAAGAAAGCGTTATCTTAAGATTGATGGATGAAAGTATCTTGTGTGTCTCTTCTCCCTCCATGTGGCACCTCTGGGAAAAATGGTACATTGCCTTCCACAATGTACGAGGGGTGTTCAAGTTAAACCAGGACTTTTAAGTTCATATAATAAAAGAACAAATTTCAAGGAGTGGAAACTGCGTTTATTTTTCGACATACTCCCCTACTACATATATACACTTATCTCAGCGTTTGACTAACGCCTGGAAAGCTTCGGCATAGAAAGATTTGTCAGTACGCCAGAATCATCCTAGGTCAGCCAGCTTCACTTCACCATCATTGTGTTCACCGTTCCCACAGAAAGATTCATCTCTTGTGAAATTTCACAACAGGTAATACGTCGATTATCCAGGATCAGGCGTTCTACACACTGAATATTCACAGGAATGACTGCTGTGGGCTGGGAACCACCATGGCCGGAATGGTCAATGACAGACTTATGGCCATCATTGAAACGTTTACACCATTACTGCGGCTGAGCGTCTCATCACCGTATCGTGCTTGAAGTCTGTAGTTATCTGTGGGTTTTACGCCTTCTTCCTCAAGAAACTTCATCACCACATGCTGTTCCATGCACGCACTAACACTCCTGTCTGCCATCTTGATTACCAATCTCTGGACTGGCCCACGCCTATCAGTAATAGGACTCACTTGCCACTTACTACTGTGTGTATTACCGCCACGCTAGTATCCTTTTATACATGGAAAATTAAAGGTTCCAGTTGGACTTGAACACCCCTTTTAGTTCTTGATGCATTACATCAGGGCTCTCCAAACTTTTCAAAGGGCCAGTTTACTGTCCTTCAGACTTTAAGGGGGTTGGACTGGGGCCAGTGGGGGTAGAAAATGTCCCTGACCCAGCATCAGTGAGAGTAAACATTACCATAGGGTTGGTGGTCAGTAAGGAGGAGTAATGCTCCATCATTGGTAATAGTGGCAAGAATAGTGCCCCATCATTGGTAATAGTGGCAAGAATAGTGCCCCATCATTGGTATCAGTGTGGAAGACATAGTGCCCCATTGTTGGTTTCAGTGGGAGGAATACTGTCACATCATTTTTATTAGTATGAGGAATAGTGCCCCATCATTGGTATTAGTGGGAGGAATAGTGCCCCATCATTAGTATCAGTGGGAGGAGTAGTGCCCCATCATTGGTATCAGTGGGAGGAATAGTGCCCCATCATTGGTATCAGTGGTAGGAATAGTGCCCCATCATTGGGGTCAGTGGGAGGAATAGTACCCCATCATTGGTATCAGTCGGAGGAATAGTGCTCCATCATTGGTAATAGTGGCAAAAATAGTGCCCCATCATTGGTAGCAGTGTGGAAGACATAGTGCCCCATTGTTGGTTTCAGTGGAAGGATTACTGTCCCATCATTATTATTAGTGGGAGGAATAGTGCCCCATCATCGGTGTCGGTGGGAGGAATAGTGCCCCATCATCGGTGTCGGTGGGAGGAATAGTGCCCCATCATCGGTGTCGGTGGGAGGAATAGTGCCCCATCATCGGTGTCGGTGGGAGGAATAGTGCCCCATCATCGGTGTCGGTGGGAGGAATAGTGCCCCATCATCGGTGTCGGTGGGAGGAATAGTGCCCCATCATCGGTGTCGGTGGGAGGAATAGTGCCCCATCATCGGTGTCGGTGGGAGGAATAGTGCCCCATCATCGGTACCGGTGGGAGGAATAGTGCCCCATCATTGGTATCAGTGGGAGGAAATAGTGCCCCATCATTCATGTCAGTGGCTGGAATTATGCCCCACTATTTGTGGAGGTATAGTGCCCCATCATTGGTATCAGTGGGAGGAATAGTGCCCCATCATTCATGTCAGTGGCAGGAATTATGTCCCACTATTGGTGGAGGTATAGTGCCCCAAGGGTCGAATAAAGGCAAACAAAGGGCCTCTAAGGAACATTATGAACATGAAAATATGGCCAACTAATTGGTAAAGTTCACTGTTTGGCTTTTCAAGAACTGTATAGGCAATCCAAGGTCAATGGAATGAGTGGGCCACTATGCGTTTCAGGGGCCCCATCCCCTTTGTCAAACTTGAAACACGTAGCGGTCCACCCAAGCCATTGACGTTGTGTTGCATGTCAGAGGTGCATGAGGGAAGGCTGGAGACGCCTCTGGCTTTCTCTCAAATTTGCAGGTCCGGCTTCACTAGCCTACCACCTCAACAGCCTATTTGTCACCCTTGCAATCGGCCGCATGGTGTACCCCTTCTGCTCCTCAGGCTGTTTTCAGGCTTCTTATATGTAAGTGTACTCTACTGTTTATTTAACCATTTACCCCCTCCCCCATCCTGACCAGGCCATTACGGTGCTGCGTTACTTTAACTGACAATTGCGCGGTCATGCAAAGCTGCACCCAAATTAAATTTACGTCTTCTTACCACAGAGCTCTCTCTCTTGGTGGTATTTGATCACCTCTACATTTTTTATTTTTTGCACTATAAAAAAAAAAAAAAAAAAAAGACCTACAATTTTGAAAAAAAAAAACCAATATTTTTGACGTTTTGCGATTAAACATTTCCAGTAAAAAAATTAGAAAAATCAAATTTCAGCATAAATTTAGGCCAAAATGTATTCTGCTCCGTGTCTTTGCTAAAAAAATAAATCCCAATACGTGTAAATGAATTGGTTTACATGAAAGTTATAGCGTTTACAAATAGCGATATATATACTGGGATTTTTTTATATTTACTAGTAATGGCGGCGGCGATCAGCGACTTATAGCGGAACTGCGGCGGGCATTCTGACACTGGGGGAGAACTGACTTGGTGTCACTGACATCCCCAGTAACACCAATATAGTGATCAGTGCTAATAAAAAGCACCGACACTGTACTAATTGCACTGGGCAGGAAGGGGTTAACGTCTGGGGCGATCAAAGGGTTGACTGTGTGTGTTTTACCAAGTGCTGTGTTTGTGCTTCACTGTAAGCACACTGCTTTGCACGGCTGTGCTATGCAGAGCCATACAAAGCAGTGTGCAGGAGCTGACAGGGGAGAGAACTGTACTGTTTACATACAGTTCTCTCCCTCCTTCGGTAATGCTCCTCAATCACCGGGTGCCGGCGAGTAATTACTGGCGAGGACCTGGTGATTGACAGCTGAGGATGCAAACAGCGGCGCAGGCCCCCTACCCGGAAACGCGAAATCATGTATATATACACGTGATTTTGCGCACCCTGCAGCAGTATATCTGCTATAGGGGGGCGAGAAAGTGGTTAAGCCTGCCAAGCCCTTGGTCTTACATGTGATAGTGTTTATGATACGTGCCTGCCTTGTTCCCGTGCCTTGACCTGATCCCCGCCCTGCCAGCTAGTTTGGATTTCCTTGTTATTGACTTTGGGCTACTCTCTAAACTCAACTTACCTTTTATTGATTTACTTATTTCAGGTACTTATATAGCGCCGTCAATTTTACGCAGCGCTTTACACATATATTATACATTCACATCAGTCCCTAACCCTCAAGGGGCGTACAATCTAAGGTCCCTAACTTACATTCATACATACACATACTAGGGACAATTTAGACAGAAGCCAATTCACCTACCAGCATGTCTTTGGAGTGTGGGAGGAAACCGGAGTATCCGGAAGAAACCCAGGCAGGCACATGGAGAACATGCATACTCCAGGCAGGTGGGTCCGTGGTTGGGATTCTAACCATCGACCCTAGTACTCCAGGCGGAAGTGCTAACCATTTAGCCACTGTGCTGCCCTAAACGACTACATTGCCTGCCCTGAACCTAGACTGCCATTGGACCACTTTGTCTGTCTGCCATTTTGTTTGCTGTACTTAGCTGGTGCCTGCCCTGGCATGGTAGCTATAGGCACTACAGCATTGCTTAGAAGTCCTGGGGGGCAATGGAGTCCCGGTAGGCCTGCTTGCGTTATGGGAAAGGGGGCTGGCTAAGGCTGAAGAACACAGAGCCAGCTATAGTGCCTGACCACCAATGCTAGGGGTAGGCATGACAGCAGCTTTGTTTTCACAGAAACAGTTCTCCCGCTCTGACCCTGAAAACGGCTTATTTCCACAGTTAACTCTTTCATGTATTGCTGACATTTCCTGCTATCGGAACATGGACATGGCATCAACTCGGAGTTAGGTCAATGATGTCCAATAGAATGTTTTCACTAGAAAAGCTTCTAGTTCACTCTGGACCTGAATATGACCTATCACCCGTGTGTGTTCTAAGATGTGTTTCAAATGCTGACTTGTCAGCAAAACATTTCTCACATTCAGAACAGGAAAACGACTCGTCCTTCATGTGAATTCTTTCATGTGAAATAAGACGTCTCCTCACGGAAAAACATTTCCCGCACTCCGTGCACGAGTAAGGCTTTTCCCCCGTGTGAATTCTTTGGTGCGTCACGAGAGTTGACTTTTGGCTAAAATATTTACCGCATTCGTCACAGTAAGGTCGCTTCTCCCCCATGTGAACTTTCTGATGGCTGGTCAGTAGCCGTTTACAAGAAAAGTTCTTCCCACATTTGGAACACAGATAGGGGCGATCCCCGCTGTGTGTTCTTTGATGTATGACAAGAACCGATCTGACGGCAAAACACTTTCCACACTCCAAGCATGTATATGGCTTTTCTCCTGTGTGAATCCTCTGGTGTCTGATCAGGCATTCCCGCGAGGAAAAAAATTTCTTGCAATCTGAACATGTGTACGGCTTTTCCCCCGTGTGAGTCCTCTGGTGCTTGAGAAGGCGGGTCTTACAGCGGAAACATTTTCCGCACTCGGGGCATGAAAACGGCCTTTCTCCTGTATGAATCCGTGTGTGTGAAATTAAAGACTGCTTTAGGGAAAATGTTTTTCCGCATTCGGAGCATACGTATGGTTTCTCCCCCGTGTGAATCCTAACGTGCACTATGAGAGCTGATTTCCGGCTAAAGCACTTTCCGCACTCGGAGCACGGGAATGGCCTCAGTCCTTGGTGGGTCTTCCGATGAGCGATGAGGTTCCCGTTATGGGTGAAGCTTTTGCTGCACTCTGAACAAGAAAACGGCTTCTCGGAAGTGTGAATTCTCTCGTGGATAACAAGAGAGGATCTTTCGATGAAGCACTTTCCGCACTGTGAACAGGAATACGGCTTCTCTCCTCTGTGGATTTTTTCATGCTTGGCAAGGGATGATTTCCAGGGGAAACCTTTACCGCATACAGAACAGGAATAGGGTTTCTGGGCCGTATGCAATCTCTCATGTGAGATGAGCCCTGCCCTATCAGTAAAATATGTACCACACACCGTGCATGGGAATAGTTGTCCCTTGCTGAGTGCTGCTTGTTGGATGATGAAGTGTAAGTGGCCAGATAAAGGCTTGCCGTGTGTATAGAATGACAGACCTCCATTTTGTGGTGCTGGAGGAAGATTCTGGGTGATCGGGTTTTGCTTCGAGGAAACGGGCGTAACTTCTGTTCCACAATCTGAAGGCTGCAGCTCTGCTCTATATCTATGATACTCTCCATCTAGAGAAGAAGAAAGGGGGAAAATAGGAAACGTAAACAGACCAAGCATTTTCTGGCACATTTTGTTTACAAGTTTAATCACTTGCCCTCCACTCTATAGCAGAAATACTGCTACAAGGCAGCAGGGCTGCGCAAAATCACATATATATATACACGTGATTTGCATTACTGGGTACGGTGTGTGCACACCCAAGCTGCTGTTGGCAGCTAGAGATATCAATCACCGTGTCCCGGCCAGCGATTCAGAGAGAGAAAACAAGGGGGGGTGGGCTTCAGAGTGACTGATCACTGTGACAGCCAATCAGATACTGTCTCCCCATTACTGTCTACTGACAGAGGAGGGGGGGGGGGGGAAGAAGAGATTGTTGTAGTGACTGAACAAGGAGGATCTGGGACTCTTCTCTGAATTTAGTATTTATCACTCACCTGGGCTGATCTCTGGAGGGATCTCCTCCTTCTTGCATAGCGCATAGCCGGAGTCTAATAGAGGCTGATGGTTTCTGACCCCCCCCCCACTGGGCACATACTGTCCCCCCATTACTGTCTACTGACAAAGGAGGGGGGAGAAGAAGAGATTGTTGTAGTGACTGAACAAGGAGGATCCGGGACTCTTCTCTGGATTTAGTGTTTATCACTCACCTGTGCTGATCTCTGGTAGGATTTCATCCTCCTCAATCTTCACACATTGTATTTCCTCCTCTTCAACTTTGACATGTTTGTGAGTGGGGTCCCTGGGGTCTGTGAAAAAGAGAATTTGTGCCGATTTATTGTGTTGTTGATTACCGCCATTAATAGTATAGTGTCATAGCTGAGTAAATTCCAGTATATATTGTATACTATAGTTTGTAGACACTATATCTTTTACACAAACCAATTAAGACCCCGGTCACACTGGGTGAGACCCGGCATGCGATTTTCATGCCATACAACTTGCAAATTGCATGCCAAAACCTTCCGGAGGTCAAAATAATTACCTTTTAGAATCACTTTAATTTCTCACCTGTTTTGAGCTCTGCAGGAAGTTCCTCCTCTTTAATCTTCACATTCCCTTGTTCCTCCTCTTCAACGCTGAAGTGTCCCTGTGTCACTGAGGTATTTCCAGGGTCTTTGGTTACAGATGGCCTTCTCGTCAGGTAGCACAGAATGACAGGATGAGAGGAAAGCAGCGGTCTAATAGAGGCTGATGGCTCCTGACTCCCCCACTGGGCACATACTGTCCCCCCATTTCTGTCTACTGACAGAGGAGGGGGGAGAAGAAGAGATTGTTTTAGTGACTGAACAAGGAGGATCTGGGACTCTTCTCTGGATTTAGTGTTTATTCCTCACCTGTGCTGATCTCTGGAGGGATCTCCTCCTCCTTACATGGACCATCACCCATCACATACGGCTCTTCTGCCTCTTCTTTGACTTTATTCATATTTTTATACTGAAAAATAAATACAAAATGTTGCATACGGTTTGATCTAGTAGACATCTGCAACAAAGTAGACTCAGTGGACAATCCATCTACCTGGTCCTCCTGAGGGATCTCCTGATGTTCCTGTGTGAAGTCCCAGGAATACAGAGAACGGGGACATCTCTCTGGTGGGTTCACAATACTGGATCCATCTACCTGGTCCTCCTGAGGGATCTCTTGATGTTCCTGTGTGGAGTCCCAGGAATACAGAGGACGGGGACATCTCTCTGGGGGATTTCCATTGCAGGATCCATCTGTAGGAAGCACATCCAGACTGTTTTTTTATTTTCGGTCTTGAAGATTCAATCAAATGTTAATTAGGAGCTTAAGTAACTTCCAACACACTCATTCATTACTCTGCACTGGCCTTTCCATCTATCAGAGAGCAGTTACGCCTAGCGGGACTTGTTACATGACACATCTGCCAGTACAATGTATGGCCAAAAGTATGTGGTCATACCTCTAAACCAGTCATTCTCAACCAGGGTTGAGAAACCAAGGGTTCCTCCAGAGATTTCTAGGGGTTCCTTGAGCTGTGGGTACATCTTGAAGGCCCCTGCATAGTTCCAGGACCAATGGCACTTAGTAAAACCAGTGACACCAATAATTTTTAGCTGTCTGTATGGGTGGCATTCTCTCACTGTAATGGGTGCATTCCTTCTATTGATCACCAATGTAAGAGGCATTTTTGAGATTGCCGCCCAATGGACTGGTTTTAGTAAGGCAGGGCTTGACAAATTTGCTTCGACTCTAGGAGCCAGTTAAAAAAGTTAGAAAGCCAGTTTTTTTTAGCGCAGCGTGGGTTGTCAGCGCCTGGAGCAAGGCAACTTTTGAGTGACAAGCTTCACGGTTAAGCGATTTGCCGTGTGATAATCATGGGAAAACCACGCTACGTTATGGGTATCATTGAAACTAGTGGCACTTGAACCTGCATTTTGCAATCACAGCGATTCTGCTGCAATCCCAAAATGCCCAGGTGTGAATGGAACTGCCCTGCAATTCTGGATGCGTTTTCAAACTCACAGATTTGCATGACAGGCTAGATATTGTGTGTTCCTATTGAGATTGTTCACACAGATGCGATCCACATGCATTGTGTTTTGAGTGCCATTATGAAAAGGGTCCTGTGCGAGTGTGTAGCAGAAAACTCCAGACTCCCAAGTGATAGAGTACCAGACTCATCCACCTTACTAATGGCTCCATATCTGCCAATCCCTCCAATGGCTTCCCATTCAGTGTCCTCTGTCCCTCTCTGCCAAACCCTCCACAGGCCTCTACTCAGTGTCCTGCATTTCTCTCTGCCAATCCTTCCACTGGCTTCCATTCAGTGTCCTCCACCTTTTTCTGCCAATCCCTCCACTGGCCTCCATTCAGTGTCCTCCACCTCTCTCTGCCAATCCCTCCACTGGCCTCCATTCAGTGTCCTCCACCCCTCTCTGCCAATCCCTCCACTGGCTTCCCATTCAGTGTCCTCCACCCCTCTCTGCTAATCCCTCCACTGGCTTCCCATTCAGTGTCCTCCACCCCTCTCTGCTAATCCCTCCACTGGCTTCCCATTCAGTGTCCTCCATCCCTCTCTGCCAATCCCTCCACTGGCTTCCCATTCAGTGTCCTCCACCCCTCTCTGCCAATCCCTCCACTGGCCGCCATTCAGTGTCCTCCACCCCTCTCTGCCAATCCCTCCACTGGCTCCCATTCACTGTCCTCCATCCCTCTCTGCCAATCCCTCCACTGGTCTCCATTCAGTGTCCTCCATCCCTCTCTGCCAATCCCTCAACTGACTTCCATTCAGTGTCCTCCACCCATCTCTGCCAATCCCTCCACTGGCCTTCATTCAGTGTCCTCCACCCCTCTCTGCCAATCCCTCCACCGGCCCCCATTCAGTGTCCTCCACCCCTCTCTGCCAATCCCTCCACTGGCTTCCATTCAGTGTCCTCCATCCCTCTCTGCCAATCCATCCACTGGCTTCCATTCAGTGTCCTCCACCCCTCTCTGCCATTCCCTCCACTGGCCTCCATTCAGTGTCCTCCACCCCTCTCTGCCAATCACTCCACTGGCCTCCATTCAGTGTCCTCCACCCCTCTCTGCCATTCCCTCCACTGGCCTCCATTCAGTGTCCTCCACCCCTCTCTGCCAATCACTCCACTGGCCTCCATTCAGTGTCCTCCACCCCTCTCTGCCATTCCCTCCACTGGCCTCCATCCCTCTCTGCCAATCCCTCCACTGGCTTCCCACTGCCCAACGAATAAAATTCAAACCATTAACAATCACATATAAAGCCATTTATAACTCTGCCCAAAATCACTTCACCGATCTTGTCTTTAAATATCACCCAAACCATCCTCTCCGCTCCTCCCACTCTCTAGCTCCCTTGTCTCCTCCTCCCATGCTCGTCTCCAGGACCTCTCCAGAGCCTCCCCCGTCCTCTGGAACTCTCTACCCCCCAATTTATCAGACTATCGCCTACTCTGCTCACTTTTAGGCGATCTCTGAAAACCTCTCTTCAGGGAAACCTATCCTGCCGTCAGCTAATAACGGAATCTTCTATTCCTTCTACCAGTCCCTCCCCCACAGTTATTACCTTTTGTATGACCATCCCCTTCCTCTTAGATTGTAAGCTCCTAGGATCAGGGCCCTCCTATCCCTCTTGTATTGAACTGTAGTGTTGCTGTATTGTTTCCCGTTATACTGTAAAGTGCTGAGCAAACTGTTGGCGCTATATAAATCCTGTATAATAATAGAGTAGAGTGATAGAGTAGAATGGCACGTGGAGATAAGTGGTCACATAGGATTGCTATCCACAGGGGTTTTTGAATTGAAGTCAATGGGATGCGATTTTACACTGAAATCAATTGGAAGCGATTTTACATTGAAATAAATTGAAGGCAATTCTGCATTGATGTCAATAGGACGAAATTTTGCATTGAAGTCAATGGGAGACGATTTTGCATTGAAGTCAATAGGAGGCAGTGTGTGCACTGAGACGCCAGGACACAATTTTTAGGTGCCATGGTGACTTGGCACCTGGGATTTGTCGAGCCCTGTAGTAAGGGTTCCTCGAGACCTGAAAATTATTTTAGGGGTTCCTCTGGGTAAAAAGATTGAGAAAGGCTGCTTTTAACTATGGAGTTCAGGTGCTTCCAGTGAAGTTTATGTTACTCCTACACCATAAAGGCATTTTTGATAATTGCGTGTTTCCAACCTTGTGACAACAGTTTGGGAAGGCGCTTTTCTATTACAGCATGACAGAGCCCTGCGCACAAGCCCAGCTCCATGAAGACATGGTTTGATGTGAAGGGACTCAAGTGGGTCCAGGGAGAGCGGATATAGTGAATGCAGGGTCCGGGGAGACCGGATATAGTGAATGCAGGGTCCAGGGAGAGCGCATATAGTGGATGTGGGGTCCGGGGAGACCAGATACAGTGAATGTGGGTCTGGGGAGACCAGATACAGTGAATGCAGGGTCCGGGGAGACCAGATATAGTGAATTAAGGGTCGTGGGAAACCAGGTATAGTGAATGCAGGGTCTGGGGAGACCGGATATAGTGAATGCAGGGTCCGGGGAGAGCGGATATAGTGAATGCAGGGTCCAG